GAGATGTCGTGGTCGCTGTACTGAATGTGACCGAAGTGATTGTACTCCGATTAGCCGACGTTGATGAGATACTAGTTTTTGTTTCTTCTTTTTGGTCAGATTTTTCGACACCAATCGAAGGCTTTCGGACACTATCCACTTCAACTTTCGATTCATCTCTGCGCAAAAAACTGTTGGGCCAGATCAACGCCACTTTCATCATTCCAGAGCAAATTATCGTTAGCATCCAACTTTTAAATCCTGATATTGAGATGAAATGACCGCTCTAGAAAGAAAAAGGAAGCATTTTTTAAATGTTACTTTCAATTTGACTCATTTGCACAGCATCAATCTTTTTTACCAATGAATCGGTTAAAATCTTATGAGCCATATTTTCTGACTTCGCCAATCCGCCCCCTCCTGAAATGATTTTCGTTTCTTCTGGCTTGGTTCGGTTCTCATTTTCAAATCCAGGTGTATCTAGAATTATGTTTAGTTGTTTTAGTTTTCACTCGAAAATAAAAACTCTAAGTAAAGAGCTTGAGCTTTCAATCAATTCCAATTTACCTGTATCGGCCGGTAATGCCAATGTAATGGATATATTGGTGTTCGACACTTCCATGGCAATGGTTTCAGCTAAACCGCGTAATGCAAACTTGGCTGCTGCATATGGTCCGTAGTCGTAGATTCCCACGAGTGAAGCTTGCGACGCCGTAATAGTGATGATCCCATCTCCAGTTTCTTTGAATTTCGTGAGCACATAACGCGTCGGATAGTACACGGAGTAATAGTTGATGTTCATCAAATAAACTGCGTCATCGGGTGATATTTCATCTACTCTCCCGCAAATTGCTCCGCCAGCACAGTTCACCAGCATGTAAATTGGCGCAGTATCTTCCTCCAGTGCGCTTAGTGCATTTTTGACACTGTCATAACTTTTTGACAGATCAATCGAACGATACTGAATCAATTGCTTATCGTTGACGCGGTGCAACTGTATCTTTTCCAACGCTGACTCCAGCTTTTCAACACTGCGGGCTATTATTGTGACATGAGCACCCAATTTTACGCAATTGACCGCAATCCAAAATCCAATGCCTTGCGAGCCACCAGTTATCACAACATGTCGGTCTCGAATTGATCGTAATGGTTTTTTGCTTACCCACCGATGAATCGCAATATGGACAATTACCAGAAAAGCCACAACTAATACGATTTCTATGAGAAAAGTCATTGTGTTTTTTCTTATCGATCTAATTTTTCTTATTTTTGATTAATTTGAATCTGTACTGCTATTTATTAACGAGACACCATAGCTCACTGCCGAACGATAGTGACAGTATGACATTCCACTTTTATTTTTCAAACCGCTATTTTTCAATTGAAATGCATTTGAGGTTATGATCTCAACAAATGTATGTATATACAAATACCAAGTTTAACAAGTTACGCACAATGTCATGGAACGGAAAGATATGGAACTGAAGCGTATCCAGTGAAAAAAAAACATAATTTGAAATCGTGACATTTTATGATTGTTTTGAATGTCCATAGCAATTTTGCTAATTATAATTAAACAACATTTTTGTTATTAATTTTTAAAATGAAAATATTTTTTTTTATTTCTTCGAAATTATAGCACAAAAATAAGATTATCGCAATTAATATGTACAAAGGGCTTATTTCATTCGTCTAACGGCGGTTCGCATTGGCCTTCCAGTTTTTGCTGTGTTCGATCCACTGCCCGGTCCTATGCTGAAAATATTTGCCGGTTGCTGTGGTGATGCACTGAACTGAAAGGCGTTCTGTGCTCCTTGATTCGGTGAATTAAACGCAAATGATGTAGGCGCTGTGGCTGGAGCCGTTGCTGGTCCGCCGAAGTTAAACGGTTTTGCTGCTTCTGGTTGGCTGTTGGCTGAACCGAATGAAAACGATGATCCTGTGCAAAGAAGAATTCAAACATATTACCATTAGAATTGCTTTGGAAAAATAGTTGTACTCTAAAATAAGCATTACCTATTCCATTCGCCACACCAAATTGAGGAGTGGGCGCAGTAGCAGGAGCTGGTGCGGATCCGAATGTTGCAACATTTGATGGTGTATTGTTGGATGAGAATGAAAATGGTGCTGGTTTTGTTTCTACTTGGTTTCCAAACGCAGGTTTGGCCGTAAAGTTGAAGGCAGGCGAAGTGCTTCCGAATGCAGGAGGTGCACTCAATGCCGTATTTTCTGCTGGTTTTGCACCGAATATTCCACTTGATTGACTCGGTGTTGTCGGTTGAATTGCTGTATTGCTTTGTCCGAACACGAACGGCGAATTGGGTGTAGTGTTTGTGTTCGTGTTTGCAGTGCCAAAGATCCCAGTCGATGCTGTAGTCGCTGGTGGTTGTGAAGTATTTTGACCGAAAGCAAACACACCAGTAGCCGGCGATCCAAATGCACTATTCGATGTTTGACTCGGATTGGCCGCTGTTGTTGGCGTTGAAAATATACTGTTGGTCGTGCCAAACGCAGGCTGACTCTGTGTACTCGGGGCACTTCCGAATATATTGCTGCTATTCGACGATCCAAATGTAGGCGCATTCATTGTTGGTTTGCCAAATGTGTTTGTTTGATTTTGGCTGCCGAAAACTGGAGTATTTACGTTCTGATTGGTTGCTGTGCCAAAAACATTGTCGGTTTTCGATTGTGTCGATGAAACATTACTGGATCCAAAAACAGGGGCCGCTTGAGAGCTTCCAAATATACTCGTTGAACTGGTCGTTGTTGGAGTACTACTTGAAATGCCAGCAAAGGTTGGTGTTGCGTTTTTATCGCCAAATTTCGGAGCGGAAAATGACCCAAAACTGTTCGGTTGTGTGGTTGCCGTTCCGAATAATGGTTTGGCATCTGCATTCGGCTTATTTGCTCCGAACGCTCCGAATGCACTTTGAGTGGTCGTAGTTGGGTTGGTTGTGTTCGCTGTTCCGAATAATCCAGTCGATGGAGCTGCTGTGCCAGCAGACGGAGACGGAGAACCAAATGCTAGTGGTGAAGTTGTAGCATTTGTTGTGGTGTTTCCGAATTGAAAAGCGCCCGTTTCTGAAAATTGTTTTGCCCAATTAGTATTGAATAGAAGTTGAAAATAACTATTTACATTCTGAAATTACCTGGTTTGCTGGTGTTTGCTGTAGCTCCAAACGAAAATGGTGCTTGATTTGAAGTTGTGGTTCCACTTGCGGTGGTAACATTGGTGTTTGTGAGTCCGAATGTGGGGGCCGGTGTAGCCGTAGCATTTGCACCGGGCCCGGAACCGAAAACAAATGCATTGGTAGCAGGGGTGCTTGTGACTGTCGCGGCTGAAGGAGTGGTCGTTTTAGCTACCGCTCCAAATCCGAATAGTCCTGTGCCTGTACTCGAAGTGCCAAGTGTATTTGTGGTTGTACTGGCCACACTGCTGCTTGGAATACCGAATGAAATTCCTGTGTTTGCAGGCAATGCAGGTGGTTTTGTTGCTGGGCTCCCAAAATTGTATGCAGGAGGAGCAGATGTCGCTAGCACACTACTCGATAGAGTTGTGGTCGTTTCTGTTTTGGCCTGTGTGTTCGAGCCAAATGTGGGTGGAGCAAACGAAGGCAATGTGGTATTACCAGTTGATTTAGCCAGTCCAAATGAGAAAGTCGGTGCGGCTGCTTTGGTTTCTTCCACCTTTGAAGTTGGCACGGCTTCCGTTGTGGCCGGTTTTGCAGCCAAAGACGATGTAAACGTTGGTGGACCGGTGGCCGGAAATGAAAACCCTCCCAGTCGAGGAGCAGAGGCTGATGTAGTAGCCGGTGTTGAAGTTGCAGCAATAGTTGGAGACGTAGTGGTCGGTAGGTTGAATGTAACTGTTGGTGAAGGCACCGTTTTGATTTCACTATCAGTGCTCGTTTGCGGCTTATCATTTTGTGACGTAACGGTTGGAGTAACGATAGTGCTCGAAGGAGATGAGACGGTTGTAGAAAGTGTAAAGCCTGTTACAGTTGTACTGGATGCAGCGGATGCGGAAACGTCTTTGTTTTCACTTTTACGTGGTTCGACTATGCTCGATTTAGTTGCATCAGATGGTACATTCAAAAGAGATGTCGTGGTCGCTGTACTGAATGTGACCGAAGTGATTGTACTC